ATCGTCAATTTCAGTTACATCAAATCTTGGAAATGTACAACCATGTTTTTGAAAAGAGGATCTGCCACTTCTCTCACAGCACTCGTAAATAAATTCACCGTATTATTTACACTATTTACATCATTTACATTACATTTCAATAATATATCATTTAAAACAGGCAATTTTGCTATGATTCCAGAACGATATAATTCTTTATCATTATCACTCCATTTAATCACGGATTTATATTACTTGTGATTTAATATACTCGTAATTAAATACTTCTGAACCATTTGCGTTAACCGAGTTACACAAAATGTCGAAATTTAAGGCAGCATGGTCGGTGAATTCATTAAAATTACATACATGAATCAGAAAACTGTTTATCATTTCAAAATCTTTTTCACACTATTAAGCTAGCACCATTATAAACACCATCCTAAGCGACCGTTTTGCTATTCTAAGGGAGGTAGCTTTACACATGTCAATTAATCTATTACCATTTGAGTTACTCCCCTTGTCCATTGAAAATCTTGGCAAGACTGTATCAATACAATAATCCTCTGAGTCGATGTCGGGCACAAATTGATCACATAATATATAGTCATGTTTGCATGATGTCCTTGCATTACAATCTCCTGAAACAAACACCGTGCCTTTCGACTAATGTTCTATATCATTTTGTAAACAGTCGAACAAATCTATATCTATCAAATTTGCAATGGGTGAATTTTCTCCCCATAAATAAACTGCAGATAGGTAAATGTCAGAAGCATTATTAAAGAAATATTTCTTTTAGCATTGCGGATATAAATTATTACATGAAAACCCTTCTAAATCTATTTCACTCGATTTACCTATATTAGGTATATACTATATAGAATACTGAATATATCAGATTCTAAATGGACAGCGAAATGGACATATTTCGGCGCAACGGAAAATATAAAGATTTGCATAACGGGTAAAATCGTGAAATAAGTAAAAGAAATTGTAAAATGATAAGTAATAGCCCTTTAATAAATGATTTATTTTCCTTTATTTTGGAATATGTTGAAAATAGGACATTCTAAATGATATTTATATGGCGGCGAAATGGAGTCGACATTTTCGACGCAACGGAGATTTACATATGAGCCGTGTTCGCACAACGGGGATATTTTGCACAAAAAAAAAACACCAAAAAAAAAACCAAACAAAACTACATGGTTCATGTGAACTCGCCCACTTTCATTAATCATATTGTAATTTTGTAATAATTGGTTGTTGTGTATACATGCATATTTTTATCAAAAGCAATCCAAATATTTTATAATTATGATATTGACAAAAGGTACAAGCTGCCAATTACTCGGGAATCGTTAGCAATTAGCTTCATATCGTGCACGTGTATTGCACGGACGTTTATTGTTTATATGTATAACAATTTTGACGGTCATAATTACAACCTGGAATTTTGCACATTTTTGAGAACCAGGCCCCGTGTTCACAAATATCTAAGGATAAGGGTCAAATTAAAAACTCATATATTCTCCGTTGTTTATCCTAATAGACTAAATATCTAATATTAACTTTGATAAAACTGGACTTAAAATAACATGTTTATGATTTTTTTTATAATAAATTTATTGTTATTTTTGCAAGATACGGGCATTTTACAGTTGATCCAAATATTGATTTTGATCCTAAAGTTGATCCTTATTTTGAGCCGATTATTTTTGTATTTGTTTTATTATTCGTCGATTTTATCTTAAAATAGGTTAATTGGTTCTTTGCAATGCAAATCAGCAATTATATATGTTAGTTTTATAGAGCAATGAAAATAAAATCAGGATTATTTGATCCTGAGCCTGATCTTTTCTTTGTCGCGTGTCGCGGCCAATTTTCCATCAGAAGAAGCGGGCTAGTAATTAAGAGCATTTTTAACAAAGGGTTATAAATAAAAAATACCAGAAAATATATACAAATGTATACATGTATGCTTTATTTGTTATATTGTGAAAGCATGGCCGTTCAAACTTACAATTGGTGAGAGAAAAATACCTATAGTAAACCACTTAATCAATCCTTTTCCTTCCATTATGATCTGCATACATTACTTCTACACTATATAGTGTATAATATTTTAATATTCTTTTATTTTCTTTTTTTAATATTTCGCGTGGACCGGCTACGTAATCCCGAGGGTGTTGACAGAAGAAATAATAACAGAGTTTAGACATGGTTACCGGAGTTTCAAAACGGCGTTTATCATAATTTTGAGCGAAAAGGATCGGAAATGAACAAAAAGGATATTATTTTAAGGAAACAGGACAACAACAGCTGATAATTTTTTACAGTTGATATACAACCGATTGACGGGAAGCCACATAAAGTACTTCAACTACACAAGGTTAACATCACACCCTTGCTAAAGAAACATTATTAAACTGTCTGTTTGCCCAAAAATATTCAAAAGTGTCGTATTGTTCGGATATAAAAAAAAATCGTCCAGATGTTTACTTGTCTCCCTTTTATGTTAATTTATTAGAATAAAAACAAAGTAGATCTAAAAATAATAATAATGTACCCATGTAAATGAAGACATTGAGATAATTTACGTTTTCTTGCTTGAATTGTTTCATTAATCTAAGATAACCATTAAGTTCATTGGATATGAAATACCTGGAACTTTTTTATATGTTTATCTTTATTAATATGTGTAGTGTATGAATTCTCTTCCTTACAATGATCCAAAGTCCCATGCAGGATTTAAACCAACAGATGAGGGGCAAGTGTTTTGAAGCCAATGCACTAAACCAACCGGGCAAAAATGCCCCATGTATTAGAAATTAATCAGGAAGTGAAATGACTTAACTAGTATGAAGGGCGACCATCGTCTGCATAATAAAAAGCCCTGGTGCACAATTTGTTAAAATAGTCACATACCTAACTATTTGACTGCCACATTTTATGCTTTTATTGCAAAAGTTTAGTAGAATTAAAAGAAGTTATAATCAGACAACATTAATTATTAGCAATTTTCCCAGCATGCAAAGGATCAATGTATACGTCTTTGCGAGGCGTTTGACATTTTAAAGGAAGATAGATAGACCAACAAATAAAATAAGATTTTTAAACATTTTAAAAGCTTTTGCTCAAACTACTATGAATAGGAATTATTAGCTTTTTGTCATTGATGCTTCATTTGTTGAACAATTATTATGTATTAGTACATACTTAACTAGTACTAGGGATATTTTTAGCTCACCTGAGCACAACATACTCTGTCTGTTGTTAACATTTTTGCAAGCACAATGACACCCAGAGCTGAAAATAGAAAATCCTTTCAACAGCATCTCCTTAGCTATGGGTCCATTTTGATGAAACTATACATAAATGGTTATTGGGTGGCACTATATAAAAATGCTCAAATGGTTCTGGTCTACTGATCAGAGCTATGCTGCAAGAGGTATCAATAAAAAAATTAAACAACATCCTTAACTATGGGTAAGTTTTGATGAAACTGTAAAGGAATGGCCGCTTGATGGTCCTCTTGTTTAAATGGTTTTGGTCTGCTGAATAAAATAGCCTTCAGAGCTGAAACTATTTTTATAAATTATCTTTTCAGTGACATCTCGTGCTTAAGCATTTGGTAGATGTTGATGAAACTATATAGGAATGATCCTTGGTTGATCTTCTATGAAATAATAGCTCAAATGTTAATGCTCTGCTGAACAAGATGGCTGTCAGAGAAATTCCATGGGTTGTCCTCTTTCACAAATGTTTGAAAAAATTCTCTTTTCAGAGAATTCTAAATTTAAAAGTTTTGTTCAGTTTAAAAATACTTTGTGAAGAGTCCATTTCATAAAAAAAAAAATTATATGTACTGTATCAATTCAACAAATTAACTATTTTAGCAAACCAACCCCTGCACACTTAAATTTGTAAGAGTCATTCAATGGCTATAAGTAGGCTGAGCAAACATTGTGGTGTTACTTTTAACTGTTTTTAGCTCACCTGTCACAAAGGGACATGGTGAGCTTTTGTGTTCGCTTTTTGTCCGGCGTCAGTCCGTCCGTAAACTTTTACTTTCAAAGACATCTCCTCATAAACCGCTACCCCAATTTCATCCGAACTTCACAGGAATGTTCCTTTGGTTGTCAACTTTAAAAATTGTTCAAAGAATTTAATTCCAAGCAGAACTCTGGTTGCCATGGCAACCGGAAGAAAAAACTTAAAATATCTTTTTTTAGAAAACCGAAAGAGCTAGATCTTAAATATTTGGCATGAAACATCATCTAGTCAGTGTCTACCAAGTTTGTGCAAATAAATAACCAGGGGTCAAAATTGGTCCATCCCGGGGTCATTGATTTTCCTTATTTGTATATAATAAAAATTTTAAAAATCTTCTTTTAAAAAACTAAAATAGCTAAAGCCTAGATATAAAGCATGAAACATCTTCTAGTGGGTGTCTACCAAGTTTGTTCAAATAAAAGCCCTGGGGTTAAAATTAGCCCCGCCCCAGGGGTCATTGATTTTCCTAATATATGTATAGTAAAAACTTAAAAAATCTTCTTATACACACCCTAAGACCTAGAGTTTAGATATTTAGCATGAAACATGTTCTAATGGGTGTCTGCCAAGTTTGTTCAAATAAAAATAAAAAATTGGCCTTGGCCCAGGGGCCTATAAACAGGTGAGCGATTTCAGGGCCATCATGGCCCTCTTGTATTATAGTAACAATGTTTGTATCCAAGAATATGCTATAAAGAATTATAAGCGCATTGTTAACCACTTACCATGCAGAAAACATTGTTATTCATTTGTGTTTCCATTCTTCATCGTATATATAGTTATATACTGCATCAAATTCAAAAAGTTTAGAGATAATATCTCCAGATTCATGCTAATTAATAAGTTAAATCTGCTGTTTTACTTCCCAAATTAGCAGTTTTAGCAATAATTTTTCCCCAAAACAAGTGGCTAGGGCCTCTTTCCAATCAAGTGAGAAAAATCACTTGGTCAGTTACTTCCCTTAGCTTATCTTTGTATATTAAGATGATTCTCTCCCTTGAAATTTAAATTTGGTTTCATATGCATCAGTGAGTTACCTCCCTTTATTAATCAATGCATAAATAAGAGAGTATTGGAGAAAATGTCTGTATTAAGAAGTAAGAGAGAGATATTGATTTTAGCAGGAGGAAATTATCTGTGAGACTAGGGCATATCTCTGTTGACAAGAATTTTGTGATCATTTATCAATACTTCTGTATTGTGAGCTTATCTGGATACACACAAATTTATGTTTCCATGTAAGGTATGAATAGATGTATATGTTAATTATTTATACATGTTTTATATATGATGCTATGCAGCTGTAACTGTAATGATGATGATAGTTCATATATAGAAGCAGTTTCGTGGTGTTTATTGGAATGTATTGTGTAGTGAGTACATGGGATATTGTAACATATGTTGTAGAAAATCAGCGAGTATGAAGTTATAATGGAATACGTTAATGGAACTGGTATCAAGCATGCGATGCTATTTTCTATATGAGCTGAATTTTTTATTCGTTTTATACATGTACAGTGTTAATACTTTAAATATTGACCTTTCATAACCTCCTAAGTTCATTATGCATCAAAGATATTAATTAATTAATAGGCATAAAGGTATAATTATCTGAAAAGAAAAATATGTAAGAAGTTAAATAACAGTAAAATAACATGTACTTTGTTTTCAGAATCTTACGGTAATTTTTTGAAACTGGATTAATGGAGAATGTATTAGTTATTTAACACATTGATTGCATACATGTGAACTTTTTCGACGATCAAGTGGGAGATTTTTCTTTTAAAAAAATGAGGGATATTTTAGAATTTGCAATAAACAGAGAAGAAATTTCTGATATTGAAAATAGAGAGATTTCTTTACTTTGTTAAAATACCCCTTATTTTTAGAAAAATCTTTGAAAATACTGTATATACATGTATATAATTATAATACAATTTCATTGATCAATAATTCAAATTTATTGATTTTTGATTCCCAAAAGATGTAGTGATAACTTGTGATAACACAAAATCTGTGCAATGTGAAGGGGATATCTGTCTGAAAACATAGTGTAACAATGAGGGGAAAAATCAATATTGCTGTTCATTTGGTCACTGTATTTATGACACAATTTAACAATAGGATCCTGCTGTTAGCTTTATATATATATTATATGTTATTTTGGTTTTGGAGTGATATATGTGGATATATTACCTGCTAAGATTTTATATCACCCGAGCCGTTAGGCGAGGGTGATATTTTATCTTGGCAGGTAATATATCCACATATATCACTCCAAAACCAAAATAATAATTTTATTACCCTTCCCCTGCCGAGTTTAGACGATTTTTTAAAAAATCATTGCTGTTTCAAATGAAACGTCGAAATAAGATTCCCTTTAGGGTACCTCTTCATCACAACATGACGTCACATAAATACATGACGTATTTTTCCGGTACCTAACGAATGTAAACAAGAGAAAAGGAGTAGTCTATTGAAAGCACTTTTTTGTAGTTAATATCAAGCTTTCACAAGGTAATATCTGTTTTCAATACTGATGGGAATTTGTATCATTACTCTACTTTGGTAAATATTTATCATTTGACAGTTAAAAAGTGCTTGTAAATCGAAATTTACACCGCGTAAAATCGAACCGTACGTGCATCACCTCAGCGCATGTCGTTTACAACGTTGGGTACCCAACGGGGAAATTTAGTGTGTATATTACCCGTCTGGCTCGGTTATATCAATTTCTTTCGGGTGATCAATATCCAATCAAAAAGGCGGAAAAAATCTGGAAGGGTAATAATACATTATATACATGTTATTATTAATTATATATGTATACATGTACATTTGTGTTTGGTGTTTATATCAGCTGTGAATTATTGATCTGATTATCAGAAAAATCAGACCATGCTTTCATAATGTTTTGTGAAAAATCAGGGTTGAAAAATACTATAAAAGTCTGAGCAACAGATCATTTGCCTTTCACCTGTGTAACTGTACGTTTAAGCCCTGACGGCGTCTTTGGATTCTGTGTAAAATGTGGGTGGTTCTACTCAGGTGTCATTTTGTGCCTGAAATAATGCACAAAGGGGCACCCGAGGTCTTCATCCACCAGTAAAGTTGGAAATTTGCTATATGACTTAATTACTGTGTTGTAGTGACGTAAAACCCAACCCAAGAAAATCCTATAAAAATCCATCTGTTTTCATATGTGATACTAATTAAGTATCACCTTAAAGACCCATTATGTCTCAGAAATGCTTTTATTTTTTATTTCTAAAAATATTTTATGTGTATACTAATAGTTCCAAAATAGTTCATTGGCCAGTTACCTGAATAATCTGTTTCTTCTGTAGCTTTTTGGCAATTAGTACAGTTCTAGTGACAGAGAATTTTTTATGGAAGTCAAAATACTATTATGTTTACACATTGGTAAATTTATGATAAATAACTGAATAATTAGAGCTACTTTTCTCAGGTTAGAAGCATTTAAAACATTTTTAAACCATTATTTACGGTATACTAAAATGCAATGGATAAAAAAGATGGTTACAGTTATGGAGTAACTTTTTGGGTACTGTAAAAATACACACCAAAATTAAAAAGATTATGAGAAATAATAATAAAAGCATTTCTCAGGCATAATGGGCCTTTAAGGCAGCCTTCAGTATTTCAGATACTGGTATTATATCTTTGAAAAGTGTGTCTTACATCACTGTAAAGCCTTCCAGAAAACAGCGTCCCAAGAGCTATTTATAATGCGTCTATGACATTGTTCTAAAAATTGAAAATTTGAAAAACAAATGGCCAAATTTACTAATTTAAATACAAAGAATGGATTATATAGATTAGAGGAATGGGGGTGTTTCCTTATCGTTTATGTATTTTATCATCGGCAAATTTCATTTTTTTCATCTTATTTCTTTGATTTGATAATAGTATGAAACGATATTTCTAAAAAACACATGATTATTTAACCTTTAGAAAAGCTGAAGGTTGCTATAAATGCCTGGTCTGTTGTATATATTTTCCTATAAGGTCTTTAAAGGAGCTATAGATGATTTGTTATACAAAATTTCTGGTTCATTACAAGTGGAGAAAAGTAATTTAATGGACATGCCATTTCTATTTGACAAAAAGAGTACATGTTTTTGTTAAGGTGTGTGGAAAACGTGTTGCATTGTATGTAATAAATGGCACCATATGTTGGGGGGCATAATGCATTTATGATGAATGTATATGTATATAATGTTCAAACAGTTCTATGTACATTCCTATATGTTTGAATAAAGTGCTATTCCATCTTAAACACAGACTATAAAATACTACTATAAATGACCTTGAAATTGCCTTAGAAACTTGTTTCCAATTGTCTAAACTCTCTCTCTCATGTTAAGTTTTCAGATAAAGAGTAGAGAGAAAGGCATTCAGCATCAAGCGCTGATTATTTTTTAGTATTGTTGTTGAAAATTTAACCTTGTATTTAATGTAGTTGTTATAATGGTGCGTTGTTAGTAAATCAATAAGTTTATGACAATTTTCTATGAGCATGCTGTTACCGTCATATAAGATATATAAGGCCACTAACTGAAAGCAGTTCTAGGTATATTATTATATTATACGGATCAATGTTGTCATTTCAGATGTTACACGAGTGGATATCACCGATGCAGTTACACAGTAAAAGAGGATAATCATAATATTACACTACAAAAACACGCTCGCTACCAAAGTCTCTTGTGAAATGAGAAGTTCAAGGAACTTGACTGGCCTGCTTATTTCTTTGTAAGGGACATAATACTAGCTGAAAGTAATTGACATTGATGTTTTGATAATTTTCGTAAAGTGTCAACATTTTTTCTGGAAGTATTCATTTTCTGGAATATTAACAATAAAATGTGGTGAAATATTTTGAAATTGACACTTACAAGCAGAACAGAGGGGGTGAAAGGACTAGCTTGGGACTGTAGAAAGAGGTATGTTATTGCAGTATTCTGAAACCAATTTTTTGATATCTTAACGCTTATATAAGAGATACTTAATGGGGCTTCCCTGGTCTTAGAATTATGTGGGTACAAACAAACATTTACAGTATCTATGTAACGATCATTCTATTGTGAACATTAGTGTACTGTTAAGCTACAAGGGTATTAGCTATGTTTGAGTTTGAGATAAAATAGGAAAGAAACAACTTTAGCAGAGTTTCAGATAACATCTATTAGTTCAGTGTACGTTAGCTGGACAGATAAATTTTGAAGAGACCTTTCTGTCTGAACGTGTTGAACAGGTGGCACATTTGAAGTGACCCCTCTAAAAGAGTGTTGAAAGACGCCTCCCTAAAAGAGTGTTAAGAGGACGGTGACTCTAACTTCCACATTCGGAACACCGTTCATCGCCAATTAAGGTATACAATATAATGCGCGGTCACACACATGCAGTAAAATCATGCTGTGACACTTAGATTTCGGCCTGAAAATGTAAATTTAACAAACCAACCAGTATAATGAAATTGGGCTGTAAATCATATGTAAATCATGTTGGATCACATATCATCATGGTTTATTAGATAATATATACATGTATATATTATATATATAAGTATATCACCTTATTTTTTTATTTGTTATCATAGTTTTTACAACAGTAGCCAATGTTTTAAGACCATGATTTTACATGTTTTGATATTTTTCGGGCGCTTAAATGTGAGTGTTGTTAATTTTAAGACTAATCGTTTCCCTTCCTCTCCCATAATAGACTTACTCTGGAATTAAGGATATTTGGGTTTTCCCCAGCTAATCCTTGGGTACAAACTTTTACAGTTACAGCTCCGAAAATAAGCGCAACAGGTTGACTAATCAGTATTGTTACGTGTAATGCACCATGAAGCTATAATGGTAAAAGTTTGTTTGTACCTATGGATCTGCCGGATAAAACCCACACTTGCCAATTTCCGGATATCATCTATTTTACTTCTACAACTGGAATATTTACATGTACATATATGACTCTGTTAAATTATGGTTTCTACTAAAAATTTATGAACTCTGTATAAAAATGTTACCCTACCCCACCCATTTTTACCACGTGTCTGATCGAAATGAAGAAAGAAGTGATGAGGCATTACAATATACATTTTAAATTGTATAAAGCTATATATCTGTTGCAAAATTTATTGTTTTGATTTTAAGAAAGAATACTTCCAAAATGCTTGTATGAAATAAAAATGGCAATAAATTGCTTTAAAGGGAGTGGCGCATGCACAAAGTCATTGCTAAATGGATAGAATTCTACTTAAAATAGCAAAATAATATTTTGTTCCGGAAGATTTTATTCTGTTGAGGTGTATTAAATAACAGAGACATTCTATGTTACAACTTTTTCAGGAATCAACCATATAATAATGGAACCAATATAATTTTATTGTTGATAAATTTTATAAAAATATTTCTTAAGATATAGATGTAAACCCTTTAACAGGAATAGTCCACAACTGTTTCTCAATAAAGCTGGAAAGGAATTAATAATGCTGTAGAAAATTGTGATGTAATTTTATGCTGGCTTATATTTAAGTACTATAATGTTTATATGGGTAATGACTTTGATAATTAACCACATAATTGTCTTTGACTGTGCAATAGATGGAGGATCAAGTAAAAATTGAGCAAAGATGAAAGAATTCAAAGAATAAAGTTAAAAGACCATTTATTAATTATCTTTGTAAGGTTTGGAGAGAAAAAAGTTAAATGACCGTAGAAAATTATAAGTACTGTGTAGACATAATTATTCTGGGAACAATGGGACTGTAGACCACCCATGCATTCATGTACTATGTGTATAATGATTATACTTAATAAGTCTATATTCTAAATTCCAAGAACATTTTAAGATGAGTGACTTTAATGTACACTTTGCTTATATGTTGCAAAATCCAAAAAAAAAAAATTTGGTTTATATAAAATCTGTTTTAATTTTGACATTTTGAAATTTTACTAATATTGTTTCACTTTAATTGAGTCAGTTCAAATCCTTTTTCAAACATACAGTGTTATAAATGAGACATTTAAAATGATATTTGTTCCCTTTTGTGTAAGTTTTCTTCAGTCCTATATTTAATTCTACATCCATTATCTATTGGTTTATACAGAATTTATTTTATTTCGATTGTGTAGGGAGGTATAAGCTTATAGACAAACTTTCAAATACGTTCCTGGAACTAACCAGTAGTCTGAGCAATGAATGTAAAGTTTCTTGCTCAAGAAAACAATGACTTGCCCCTGACGGGTTTGAACCCATGTGGCTAGCGATCATTAGATTACTAGTCTGAAGCATTAACCACTCGGCCATGTTGCCACTATCTATTATACTTTGGTCTTGAGTTTGTCAAGATTATACACTTATGTTCCATTTTGTGTTGCATGCTAGGGCAATAAATCATATTTTCATATTTTCAAAAAATCAAATATAGAAAGGGGAAAAATCACATATGCTGAATTTGTACCGTGGGATTAGATGTGGGGGGGGGGGGTTAGATGGGGGGGGGGTATCACATTTGCTAAACTGCAAAAGTTTATTTATACCTTTGGTTTTAGATCAGGGAAAAAATCACATTTGATTAACTGCAAAAATTATTGGTACCCAGAGGTCAGATGGGGAAAAAAACACATTTGATTAACTGCAAAAGTTTATTTGTACAAATTTTGGAGTAAATCTTTTAAGTCACCATAAATTATATAAATTTTATTGTCCTTAAAGCTTATTTCATTAAACTTCTAAGACTTACTCTTGTGGTAACAGCAACATACTTGTACTTGGTGTTTCATTAAAAAGTTGTTTTTTTTCCCTCCTGCTTGCGAAGTTTCAAGTTTCCATTATTGTATTTTTATCCTCCACAACATACACGTTGTCATAGTTACCATTGTCAGAACACTGTGACAATGTTCCACTGTAAATGACAGCTTATTTAATGCCTTCTCAACAAAATATGTTAAAGCGGCCTTGAGCTCTTCTAAAAGTTAAATACATTGTATGTTGTTTTTAGATAAGTTGTTTCATCAAAAGAATTAAGGTGGGAAATGAAATTTGCCAACGTTGAAATAGTTAATACATAAACAATAAGGAAACTTTGATACCTAAATGATACCTCTAATCTACTGGTCCATTCTTAGTAAAGCAGACGATCTTCTATTTTTAGAAATGAATGTCACTGATGTGTTATAAATAGCTCTCAGGAAGCTGCTTTTAAGGTTACTGAAATACTTAGTTTAAAACATCATAAAATTGTTTTTTCAACTGAAGGTCTCTTTGAAAATGGGATAGATCTACTGGAAATAGATAATGTTAAAACAAGAAAATCAACTGTTTAGTGTGCACACTAAAAAAAACAAAATCATATAAACATATCACCTTACAATGTAAAAATTAAATGAGCATAAGTAACACTAAAAGTCTTGTAATTTTGCTTCAATGAAAAAAATATATTTACATAATTTTACAAAGACTTGACATGTAATTTTGCTTCAGTGTAAAAAATCAATTAACATAATTTTACAAATTCATGTAATTTTGCTTTAATGTAAAAAATAAATTACCGGTAATGTAATTTTACAAAAACTTGTAATTTTACTTCAATGTAAAAAAATAAATTAACATAATTTTACAAAAACTTGTAATTTTGCTTCAATGAAAAAAATAGATCAACATAATTGTACAAACATTTGTAATTATGCTTCAATGTAAAAAATAAATTAATGTAATTTTACAAACAATTGTATGGGGCTTCGAGAACTTGGATATGGTAGAGCAAGTTCACACTAATTTTCTTCGCAAAATTACTAAGACCAGAAAAAGTACTCCTAGATATATGCTATATGGTGAACTTGGACGCTACCCTATTGAAATTATCATTAAGTCCCGAATGGTAAATTTTTGGAATAAGCTTATTCTTTCCAGTAACTCGAAATACTCGTTTAATTGTTATCTGCATATGTTACAATCAAATCATATATTTTAAATGGCCTTCCTTTGTTAAACAAATCCTAGATTCAACTGGAAATTCCTACCTTTGGCTTAACCAACGCTCTCTAACTTGTAAGTTTTTAAATAAGATGGTCAAGCCTACCCTTGTTGACCAGTTTTTCCAGGATTGGTGCTCGAAACTTGAGGCTTCAAGCAAAGGTCAAATGTACCATATATTTAAAGAAAAACACATTGTTTGAGGAATACTTTTCCATACTCCCGAATTCTCTCCGACTTGCCCTTATGCATTTTCGCACGGGCAACCATAGATTCCCGATTGAAGTAGGCCGTTGGAGCCAGTCATTTATCCCCCACGAGCAACGTAAATGTAATCTCTGCCCATTAAATGACCTAGGTGACGAGTTTCATTATTTACTCGTCTGCCCATTTTTTAAGGAAAAACGAAATAAGCTTTTAAATCGAAGATTTTACAACAATCCAAATATCCTTTAATTTAAGGAACTGCTCGCCACTAATGACCGAATACAGCTGACAAATCTCGCAAAATACGTAGCATTCATTATGAAGTTTTTTAAGCGATCGTAAAGTTTATTATCTTAATTTCATATGATTATGCATCAGACTTTAGAAATATCATAGGCCAATGTTGTTTATTAATATAAATACTGCAAGTTTGATTTGCTGTGTAATATATGTATACCATGGCAGGCGCTAAAAAAGTATGCATAAACTTAGTCAAAAACAGCAACAATAACAAAAGCAATTTGTATAACTTATTACACTCACCGGTATATAATTCCATGTACGCGCACTTCTTACGATTCAACAAGTACATTAAATTCCACTGATAAAATCCCATCCGAACGAAATTAAGCACACTTCCGGCTCTATTTTGTGTAAGCATCCAGGTCAAGTGAAATAAACATTGATTTATTGAACGTGTGAATAAATGACCAATCAAATTCGATTACATCGGGAAATCCATTTAGGTCATTCCTTTGAATTATTATACCCCCGCACAACAAAGTTGTAAGGGGGGTATACTGGAATCAGCTTGTCCGTCCGGCCGTCCGTCCGGCCGTCCGTCCGTCCGGCCGTCGGTTTTTTCTTGTCCGCCCAATAACTTAAGATTCCTTTGACCCTTAGTCTTCATATTTGGCATGGAGGTTAGTCATGATAAGTAGATGACCCCTATTGATTTTGAGGTCACTAGGTCAAAGGTCAAGGTCACAGGGGCCTTGACTTCAAAAAGCTTGTCCGCCCAATAACTTAAGATTCCTTTGACCCTTAGTCTTCATATTTGGCATGAAGATTAGTCATGATTAGTAGATGACCCCTATTGATTTTTGAGGTCACTAGGTCAAAGGTCAAGGTCACAGGGGCCTTGACTTCAAAAAGCTTGTCCGCCCAATAACTTAAGATTCCTTTGACCTACAGTCGTCATATTTGGCATGGAGGTTAGTCATGATAAGTAGATGACCCCTATTGATTTTGAGGTCACTAGGTCAAAGGTCAAGGTCACAGGGGCCTTGACTTCAAAAAGCTTGTCCGCCCAATAACTTAAGATTCCTTTGACCCTTAGTCTTCATATTTGGCATGGAGGTTAGTCATGATTAGTAGATGACCCCTATTGATTTTGAGGTCACTAGGTCAAAGGTCAAGGTCACAGGGGCCTTGACTTAAAAAAGCTTGTCTGCCCAATAACTTAAGATTCCTTTGACCCTTAGTCTTCATATTTGGCATGGAGGTTAGTCATGATTAGTAGATGACCCCTATTGATTTTGAGGTCACTAGGTCAAAGGTCAAGGTCACAGGGCCTTGACTTCAAAAAAGCTTGTCCGCCCAATAACTTAAGATTCCTTTGACCCTTAGTCTTCATATTTGGCATGGAGGTTAGTCATGATTAGTAGATGACCCCTATTGATTTGAGGTCACCAGGTCAAAGGTCAAGGTCACAGGGGCCTTGACTTCAAAAAGCTTGTCCGCCCAATAACTTAAGATTCCTTTGACCTACAGTCGCCATATTTGGCATGGAGGTTAGTCATGATCAGTAGATGACCTCTATTGATTTTGAGGTCACCAGGTCAAAGGTCAAGGTCACAGGGACTTTGACTTCAAAAACGTTATCTGCCAAATAACTTTAGATTCCTTTGACCCACAGTCTTCATATTTGACATGGATGTTTGATCATGATTAGTAGATGACCCCTTTTGATTTTGAGGTCACTGGATCAAAGGTCAAGGTCATAGGGACTTTGACTTCAAAAAGTTTGTCCACCCATTAACTTAAGATTCCTTTGACCCACAGTCTTCATATTTGGTATGGATGTTGATCATGACTATAAGGTGACCCCTATTGATTTTGAGGTCACTGGGTCAAAGGTCAAGGTCACAGGGACCTTGACAAAAAAAAAGCTTTTCTTCTCAATTGCTAAAGAATGTCCTGTCCGCAATGTATTGATTTTGACATTTTCACATTTGAAGCATGTAGAATACATAACTTAGCAATGCACTGGCTTAGTAACCTCAGATTTGGCAGGGAGGTTGTCCTTGAGCTCTAAATGGCCACTGTTGATTCTGACAAAGTGGTATGCGGGGGTATTCACGCCATGATAGTGGCAGTTCTAGTTTATATAATTGGTAACCTAATATTAAATATCTATCATCCAAATATATATTTTTCGCTTTTCATAAGCGCATGTCGTAAATGTAATTGTAATTTTTTAAACCACGCCCTAAAAATTAGCTATGAATGAAAATCATGATGCTGTATTTTTTGTTCCTACTGTTTTCCTATTGCGTACATGTAAATTTCAAATAGTACTTCTGTATGTATAGGTGTGTGTGTGTGTGTGTGTGTGTGTGTGTGTGTGCGTGCGTGCGTGTGTTGGTGCGCGCGCGTGTGTGTTTATGTATATGCGTTACAAATATATTATTTCTGTTTGTGCGTGCGAGTGTGTTAATTTTTCCCTGATTTCTAGATAACTTGAGATTAAATTGTCAAAATTTGCAAAGACATATATATATATATATATATATATATATATATATATATATATATATATATATATATATATATATATATATATATATATTTAGCACTTGTGTTAAAAGCTATATAATATTTACCTATGAAATTTGTATGTTGATAATATCCACTTTCCCCACATGAAATTTAAATTATGATACCCATTTAACATTTAATATTGATATATATATTTGTACACATGTAATTACAAAATGTCACCTTGTAATCTGTGCCTCTCAAATAAAGATTATGTTCTGTTCTGTTCTGTTCTGTTCTGTAATTTTGCTTCAGTGTAAAAAATAAATTAATGTAATTTTACAAACAATTGTAATTTTGCTACATTGTAAAAAATAGATTAATGTAATTTTACAAAAAAACCTGTAATTTTGCTTCAGTTTTAAAAATAAATTAACATAATTTTAACCCTTTTAATTCTTTGACACAGTCTTCTTTAACAACAACAACATCAAATTTACAATGAATAAAGATTTTATCTTTCCATCAATATTGACAGTAATGATTTAAGGACTTTCTCTTTCTTTAAATCCCATATCAGTTTGAAACAGGTTTGTAGCAAAAGTTTGAATGGGGATATACTTTGTGTGTATAATGTATATAATAATACAGTAGTAATATAATAGATATAGCTGGTTTTGTGAAGTAGATATCATTACCGGTATGTTTAAACTTAGTATATTGGAATATGTCAGTTTTTGAAAAACTTAGGTGTGAGAAGTTTCTTTTTACCTGTTGAACTGTAATATTCTTCCGTGTGGGAAATAATTAACAATTTTAAATGACATAGTCCTGAAAAAGGTAAATTGTTGTTGTGTTTTTTGTCCTTTTTTTGTTGAATTTTTTTTTAAATTTGGTTATAGAAAAAAATTTATAACCTGTATCCCACTAAATATCAAAAATGGACTTGTCCATTTGTCAGCCATGACATTACCATTCATCACTTTTAGGGAAAAATGTAAAAATACATGTACATGTATATAATATTAACTGAATAAGCAAACAATGCAGACCATGATCTGATTGCATGGGTATCCCAGCTAATCTTGGTCTGCATTGTTTGCATGTTTGTACTCTGTAGCTGTCAGCAGACTAAAAGTTAATGCAATCAGATCATGTTGCAATCAGATCATGTTGTAATCACATCATGTCAATGTTTTTGTTGGATACATCTGATATTACCATTAATTTTTGATGTCATACTTTTCATTTACGAACAAATTGCCCAAGCTCTATACCAACAGCAATCACTCCAGCTCGTATATTTTCACAAGATGATCTCATGCAAATTCTTATTTTATAAGAAGACATTCATAGCATATTTCAGAATGTTGTGATTTATGATGATTACGATTTTTATCCACATTCAAATATAGTTTGACTACAGTCAAATCATATTTTGATAATTCAATTCATTATGAAATCACCAAAGTATGAATCTTTGTCATATTTCTATAATCTCATGAAAAACATGCAATCTAAACCAGTATGTTTATTTCAAAAAGACATTAATTTTATACGTGGTGATGAATTTAACATGTTTTTATACCTAGTCAAGATACATAAAATTCAAGATCTGTAAAACAAAGTATCCTGGTCTGCTGGTAGCAACTGAATATTCCCATACAACCAGTACAGATCACAAACACCCTTTGGTCTGCTAGTAGAAACTGAATATTCCCATATGACCAGTACAGTCCACAATCAGCCTTAAGACTGCTGGTAGCAACTGAATATTCCAGTACAGACCACAATGCGGAGGCGAAAAAAAAGGGGGGGGGGAACAGTTTATTTGTTGTCAAATTGTAACAAAAAAAATGAGGGTTTTTTTCAATAAATACTTTCTTTGGAGGGAAATGACACCAAATTTTGACCCCAAATTGACCCTTAAAATCACTGTTGTCTGTTGTTTTAAGGAGTAAAAGTATATTTCATTAATATGTATTTTTTGCTCTCTTTTCTTGTTTTGTACACAGAGTGAAATGCGGTGAAGCATGAAGTGATGCATCTTGCAGTGAATCTGGACAGGAACAAGTGAGGGACTTCTAAAAATGTCAGATTCAGAGCATACTAGTCTAATGCCTGAAACACAGGGGACCGGTGGTGGCCAAGGGGGAACCAGTAGGAAGAAGCCACCACCTCCAGACTGGGGAAAGTATGGACTTAGCCAGGAACCAGCAAAAGCTCCATACTGTGCCAATGTTGATACTGGAGGAGAAGCTGGGTACCAGCATGCAGACGTTGGAAATAAAAATGAACTTTTCCAGGAAGATCAGGTAATTATTTTCAGATTGATTTTCTTTCTTTCATGAAACCACCTCCATACCACCCACATGTATACACATAATCTATAATATACCACCTACAAGTAAGTAATACACATTACCCACTACATACTACCTACATGAATACACATTACCCACTACATACCACATACAGGAATACACATAACCCACTACATACCACCTACATGAATACACATAACCCACTACATACCACATACATGAATACACAAAACCTACTACATACCACCTACATGAATACACATAACCTACTACATACCTTCTACATTGATACACATAACCTACTACATATCACCTACATTAATAGACATAACCTACTACATACCACCTACATAAATACACATAACCTACTACATACCATCTACATTAATACACATAATCTACTACATACCAGCTACATTAATACACATAACCCACTACATACCACCTACATGAATACACATAACCTACTACATACCACATACAGGAATACACATAACCTACTACATACCACATACATGAATACACATAACCTACTACATACCACATACATGAATACACATAACCCACTACATACCACATACATGAATACACATAACCCACTACATACCACCTATATGAATACACATAACCTACTACATACCACCTACATAAATACACATAACCTACTACATACCACCTACATAAATACACATAACCTACTACATACCACCAACATAAATACACATAACCTACTACATACTACCTACAGAAGAACATATAACCCACTATATACCATCTAAAGGATAAGTAAAGAAGATGAGTGTTTTTACACAATACAATCCTTTTACATTTTACATATAAAATGAAATAAATGTTTAGTTTAAATGTGATATCAGTAAACCAAATAATATCATGAAAGTTATTTCTCCTCAAGCATATAGTCAGTCCATTAATTTTGTAGTTCAACACATATTTATCTATTTTTAACCATTTCCATGTTAAAATTGAATTACAGTCTAACTTTCCCATGTGACCATGTGTATTAAGCAACTTTTGACTCATGCGACCACTTTAAATTCTTCACAATCATTTTCTCTCTGTTATATTTTTAATGTCCTAAGCAACTTTCATGCTTTATAGATATCACATTTTCTAGAGATCCTTGTGTCTATATTTCAGAATCTCATACAGAAAATGTGGTGGAAGGCCAACTTTTTCATCAGTGAGCCAGTGTTGTTTGGCACCTGGGACGGGGTGTTTACCTCGTGTATGATCAACTTGCTGGGTGTGGTGATCTTCCTCAGGATGGGCTGGATTGTGGTAAATATATTTGAGCTGCATCACAACAAAACCAACATAGTGGGTTTGCGACCAGCATGGATGTAGACCAGCCTGCGCTCCTAATCAGAATCCATGCTGTTCGTTTACCAACTCTATTATAAGTGGAGAAACTGACAGCAAACAGCATGGATTCTGATCAGACTGCGCGGATGCGCAGGCTGGTCTTGATCCATGCTGGTCGCAGACTCACTATGTTGGTTTTGTTGTGACGCGGCTCATTTCTTAAAAGGGAGATAATAACTCTTATATAGCAATGCTTCACAAGGGAAGTAATAAACTGTTATGTACTTTGAGGGTAATTGTTGTGATTCCCATTGCCAGTAATGAGCATAAAAAGTTCAAAGGAGGTAGAATTAGCAATGCTGTATATCTCAAGGGAGGTAATAAATGCTATGCTGCTCTGCCTTTCAAGGGAGGTAATAAATGCTATGCTGCTGTGCTTTTCAAGGGAGGTAATAAATGCCATGCAACCGTGCATTTCAAGGGTGGTAATGAAATGCTATATTGCTTTGCATTTATAGGGAGGTAATTATTACTATATTGTTCTGAAACTGGAAGGAGGTGTTTAAATACATTTTTTTTCCACGTTCAAATGGATGTAATAAAATAAATATTGCTCATTGCAAGAGAGGTAATAATAGCAATATCACTGTGCATCTCAAGGGAGGTAATGAGTGCTGAGTATAAAGAATGAAGTTGTCAATGCATGGGAATGTTATGCGTTATATTTACATGTTTCAGGGGAATGCTGGGATTGTTCTCACCATACTAACTATCGTACTGGCCGTGCTTGTAGTACTCATAGTAGCCCTTAGTGGTATAGGTGTATGTGAGAGGTGTAAAGTGGAGAGTGGAGGGGTGTATTTTCTCATATCTCATGTCCTTGGATCCAGAATTGGTGGCAGTGTTGGAGTGGTCTACTGTTTTGCTCAGGTATAATTTTTCTGATGTTGATCGATTAAATGGCTTTTCAAGTACAATGTACATGTAGATAGATTAAGAAATATTGGCTTGCAACTTTTATTTTTTTTATCTGTTATCTTAATTAGATATTTAAAAACCAAGAAATATAAATTTTTTGAAAAATGATGTAATATGTTCATAAATTTATAAAGAATTGTCACTTTTTTCTAAAAAAAAAGGAATTGCTGTATTATAAATTTGTTATAAATATTCCTGACATGTTAAATGACCATAAAAAATGGTTGTTTGCATTATAACCTTCAACAGCGGTTTATATAGGGCCATATAACCTGACAAAAATATATAAATGTTATGCCATACAAATGTACCAACTCGGTGTCACTGTTTACTCTATATTTTAGCATGTCTTTGACTAAAACTGAGGTCAAAAATCATTGTAGACTTATAATAAGCATGGTTGTAATGAAAGTAAAATACTATCATATTCTGAAAGTAGAAAAATACCATGATCATAATGCTGCAAATAATTTTTTACTGACACAGGCTGTGACATGCTCTCTGTCAGTAATGGGTTTTGGTGAATCAATCATGGGGCTGACAGGCATTGACAATCCTTGGATCGCCAAAGGCGTTGCTATCGCCCTTGTTATTCTTCTTTTAGGTAAGTGTTTATTTTCTTTGAGATTTAGAATTGTCTAGATTATGTTTGTAGGTTTGTAAAAAGGATTATTTTGTTGATTTGTTATAAGATTAATTGTAAAGGTATGTTGAGGTTAGATATAATTATGTGATTATGTATGTAGATAATTATGTTTAGGGATTTTTTTTTGGTAGGGGGAGGAGGAGGAGAGAGGGGTTGGGTCACACCAACACAGTAATGGCCATATGGCAACTTTCCAGCTTGACTGAGGAACACCTCAGATGCCCTTCCATGCATTATTTCAGTCACAAATGGGCACCTTATTTAAGAGCCAGCAACATTCCGTAAGCTATCTGGATAGCTTTCTCACATGAAAGAATCTAAGGTCTTTGTAGGGATTCAAACCAACAGATGTGAAGGGCAAGTGGTTTGAAGTCAATGACCTTGGGCACAGATGTCCCTATATTATGGGGTTATGTTTGTAGGTTTGTTATGATATGTGTAGGTATGTTATGATATGTCTGTAAGTATGTTATGATATGTGCACTTGTTAAAATATGTTTTGATATGTGTGTAGGTATTTTATAATAAATGTGTAGGTATGATATGTGAAGGAATGTTATTATAAATGTGTAGATATGTTTTGATATGTGTAGGTATGTTTTGATATGTGTAGGTATGTTATGATGTGTTCAGGTATGTTATGATATGTGTAGACATGTTATGATAGGTGTAGACATGTTATGATATGTGTAGGTATGTTTTGATATGTGTAGGTATGTTATGATGTGTTCAGGTATGTTATGATATGTGTAGATAAGTTATGATATGTGTAGATAAGTTATGATATGTTTTAGGTAATGTTTTTGTTTAATGGGGTTAGGTATTTTATGATAGTGTGGGGTATTTTGATTGTGTGGGTATGTTATGATATGTTTTGGGGAAATTTTATGATGTTGAAAAGGTATTTTTTATGATGTGTTTGGGTTTATGTTGTGATATGTGAAGATATTTTACATATATGATTTTGTGTGGGAATTTGTTTTTATATGTTTATTTAGGGGAATTTTAAATTGTGTGGGCTTTGTTTTTGATTTTTGGTATTTTTATTATGAGTATATGTAGGTTTGTTAAAATTTTGTGTTTTTTAGGGTTAGGGGAATTTGTTTTGAAGTAGTTTTTCAGATTTTATTGTAGATATGCTTTTGGGATTTCGTTTTGTTGTGAGTTTTATTTAGAGGTTTTTTTTAAAAATTTAAAAATTTTGGGTTTATGTTATCAGAATTTGTGTGTATATATGTTATTAGATTTTACGCATTATGGTAAATCTGTTTTAACAAGATTTTTATCTTTGCTAGTATAAGGATATATAGGAACGCCAAGGTTATTTTAAAACCTATAAAACTTTATAATAATCATAATATTCTAAAATCTTAACATGCTCATTTGTTTCAACAAGAAAAGATGGTTATAAATAATTTTCTGTTTTGTTTTAACAGGTATAAATATAGCTGGAGTTAAATGGGTGATTCGACTTCAATTAGTACTGCTGTTTGTATTATTCCTCTCAGTGATGGACTTCTTTGTTGGTTCATTTGTACATACAGATAAAGGTAGGGTTCATTTCTACATACAGATAAATATGGAACATTAGTACAATCTTTCATCAGTTTAACAATAAAAACTTCTTCTGCATGAAACTTTAAGACAAAGAAAAGATCTGTCAATGTTCAATTTATTGACAATGACCACTTGATTTTGTTTCAGACCATGGTGTAACAGGTTACAGGGAGTTCAATCTACATAACAACTCGGGTCCAGCCTATCTTCCTGGGGAAACATTCTTCTCTATATTTGGTCTGTTTTTCTCTACCGTAACAGGCATTTTAGCAGGTATCAACATGAGTGGAGATTTACGGGAACCGTTTGTCAATATACCACGAGGGACTTTATCTGCTCTAGGTGTATCGTGAGTATTTACTTATATCAATGACTTACAGAGAGTAACATTCAAGTGTCTGATATTACAAAGTTTATCAGGCAAGGTTAAAAAAAGGAGCCAAACCGTTCATCTTTTTCGTGCTGAGTCTGAGAATGAGATATTGTAATCAAACTTGGTTTATAATAAGTTTATATGAAGATCCTGGTTGGGATTGCACTTTATTTAAATAATTCTTTGTACACTTACACTTTATTGAAAAACTGGTTCGGAGCAAAACTTCTACATTTATAGAGGGATCTCAATATAACTTGGCACAAATGTTCACAATTGTGGGGTGGAGTGTCTAATGCAAAATTCAGGCCCCTGCGGCCAAGGTCAAGGTCACTTATAGAGGTCAAAGTTCAGATATAAGTATGAAAAGGTGTATTTAGACTATTTAGTCATCATTTATTGAGGGATTAAAACACAAATGGTGATTATCATGACTACAGATTTGAACCATTGATTTAGGTTAATAAATGCAAGGTAAATGTCACTAAAGATGATAAAATATAGAGATTTTGTCCAGAGCATATCTTGCATGGAACGATTTTAATGAAACTTCATAGAAATGTTCACAACTATGAGAAGCAGTGTCATGCACATGAACCAGGTCTCTAGGTTAAAGGTTAAGGTCACACTAAGAGGTTATTGAAACATCCATCTCCAGAGCAAAACTTCTACATGCATAGAGAGAGTTCAATATAACTTGGCACAAATGTTCACCATTGTGAGGCAGAATGTTGCCCTGTGGCAATGTCAATGTTTCATATAGGGTTCAAAGTTCAGATAAAAATATGAAAAGGTGTATTTAGACTATTTTGTCATCATTTATTGAGGGATTGAAACACAAATGGTCATTATCATGACTACAGACGAGAACCATGTAATTTAGGTTAATAAATGCATGGTAAATGTCACTAAAGATGATTTTGTGCAGAGTGTATCTCCTACAAGCATGGAAGTATTCTAATGAAACTTCATAAAAATGTTCACAACTATGAGAAGCATTGTCATGCACATGAACCAAGTTTTTAGGTTAAAGTCAAGGTCACACTTAGAGGTCATTAAAAAAAACACATGTCCAGAACAAAACTTCTACATTTATCAGGGTATTTTAATGTAACTTGGCACAAATGTTCAACAATTTAAGGCTAAGTATTGGGCACATAATCCAGGTTCCTGCAACCAAAGTCAGGGTCACATAGAGAGGTCAAAGTTGAGATGAAAACAGTAGATGTGAACAGGAACCATTAAGTGATCATTTATTGATAATTTGTAACAAAAATGATAACTATCATGACTACAAGTGTGACACATGTCAATTTAGGTTAATCTTTGCACGGTCAAGGTCACTAGAGATGAAAAAATATCCAGATACTAGAATTGTCCTGATATTGCCCATAGCATATCTCCTATATGCATATATATAATGCCCACATCTCTGTCAAAAGCTTTTGTGATGGGCGTATTTTGTGACAATGTTACCCTAATTATCTAATCTTAAGCATATGATGTATTTGCAAATGACCCTCAAAATGGCCGCCCGGGGAGGTAATTATTACTATGTGAAAAGCATCTATACTGTACATTTTGTTTTCAGAACATTTCTGTATATAGGATTTACGTTGGTGATTGGAGCCACATGTTTGCGAGAGAACTTGCATAAAGACTACATGATATCTGAAAAGGTTTGTACATTCTTTATAATTCCATCAGACCAAATTTTGTGCATTGTTTATATTCCATCATACCAAGATTTGCGCATTCTTTATATTCCATCAGACCAAAATTTGTGCATTCTTTAAATTCCATCAGACCAAGGTTTGTGCATTCTTTATATTCCATCGAACCAAAGTTTGTGCATTCTTTATATTCCATCAGACCAAAGTTTGTGCATTCTTTATATTCCATCAGACCAAAGTTTGTGCATTCTTTATATTCCATCAGACCAAAGTTTGTGCATTCTTTATATTCCATCAGACCAAAGTTTGTGCATTCTTTATATTCCATCAGACCAAAGTTTGTGCATTCTTTATATTCCATCAGACCAAAGTTTGTGCATTCTTTATATTCCATCAGACCAAGGTTTGTGCATTCTTTATATTCCATCAAGCAAAGGTTTGTGCATTCTTTATATTCCATCAGACTCAAGGTTTGTGTATTCTTTATATTTCATCAGACCAAACTTTGTGCATTCTTTATATTCCATCAGACCAATGTTTGTGCATTCTTTATTTTCCATCAGACCAAGGTTTGTGCATTCTTTATATTCCATCAGACCAAAGTTTGTGCATTCTTTATATTCCATCAGACCGAAGTTTTTTTGCATACTTTGTATTCCATCAGACCAAAGTTTGTGCATTCTTTATATTCCATCAGACCAAGGTTTGTGCATTCTTTATATTCCATCAGACAAAGTTTTGTGCATTCTTTAAATTCTATCATACCAAGATTTTTGCATTCTTTATATTCCATCAGACCAAATTTGTTCATTCTTGATATTCCATCAAACCAAAGTTTGTGCATTCTTGATATTCCTTCTGACCAAAGTTTGTGCATTCTTTATATTCCTTCTGACCAAGGTTTGTGCATTCTTTATATCCCATCAGACCAAAGTTTGTGCATTCTTTTTAATCTAGCTAATGTTTGTATTATTGTTTTTTTTTTCAGATCTCTATTGTTGGTTTTTTGTGGCTGGCTGGCTTGTATATATCATCTGTATCGGCTTGTATGGGAAGTTTGTATGGCCCACCGAGAATACTTCAAACCATAGCTAATGAAAATGTTATACCAATTATTAGAGTTCTTGGACATGGTGTAAGTAGTGCAGAAACTTTTTTACATTTAACTTGTCCTTTCTGAAATTATTCTCAATGAGTTAAAAGTCCTGTGAACACAAAGAATGATTACCATTATCAGCTTTTTGACTTAATCAGTTAAAGGCCTATTATGCCTCAGAAATACTTTTATTTTTATGCCCCCCCCCAAAGGGAGGCATATTAAAATTGTACCGTTTGTCTGTTTGTCTCTTCGTCCATCTGTGCCTGCCCACTTCATTCATGTCTGGATTGTAATTTTGTCATACATGGAGGGCTATTGAAATAACTTGGCCCAAATGTCTACCACATCAAGCCAATGTGTCCCGTTCAAGAACCTTGTCCCTACCTAAGAGGTCAAGGGCACACTATTATTTTGAATTTTCACATTATCACAATTAGAGTAAATAGGTACACACATTCGTGTCTGGACAGTTACTTTGTCATGCATCTAATGATTTTAAAATAATTAGGCATAAATGTCGTATCCAAGAATTATGTCCCTACCTCAAAGGTCAAGGTCTCACTAACATTTTGAGGTTTCACTTTATCACAAAAAGTGTTTATAGGTACACACATTTGTGTCCCGACTGCAACTTTGTCATGCATTGAAGGATTTTAGAATAACTTGGCATTAATGTCTACCATATCAGACAATGTGTTGCATCCAATAATCAGGTCCCTACCTCAAAGGTCAAGGTCACACTACCTTTTTGAAGTTCACTTTATTATAATTAGAGTTTATAGGTACACACATTCCTGTCTGGACAGTAACTTTGTCATGCATCGAAGGATTTCGAAATAATTAGGCATAACTGTCTACCACATCAAGATGACATGTCGTGTCCAAGACCCATGTTCCTTCCTTCAAGGTCACACTTAAAGTTTGAAGGTACTAACTCTTTCAAGAAGAGTATGAAGATACACATTCATGTCCGGACTGTAACTTTGTCTTGCATGGAAGGATTTTAAAATAACTTGGCACAAATGTCTACCACATGAAGACAATGTGTCACGGCTAAGGCTCATGTCCGTTCATTGTCTGTGTGTCCCCACTTACACAACAATCATGTCCAGACTGTAACTTTTTCATGCATTGAGGGATTTTAAATTAACTTGTCTCATGACAACATTTTGTTGCATCCAAAAACCACGTCTCCTCTTCAAAGGTTAAGGTCACACTTATATTTTGAAGGTTCACGTTATCACAATTATAGATTATAGGTTCATGCATTGAAGAGTTTAAAAATAACTTTGCACAAATGTCTACCACATCAAGATGATGTGTTGTGTGTAAGACCCATGTTCCTACCTCCAAGGTCAATGTCTTTCTAATAGTTTGAAGGTACTTATCCTCATAAGAAGAGTTTGAAGGTACACATTAGTTTCCAAACTGTAACATTGTCATGCATTGAAGGATTTTATACTAACTTGGCATAAATGCCTACCACATCAAGATGATGTGTCGCATCCAAGACCGTTAAGTTTGCCGTAAATTGCACTTCATTTCACAAGAACAATATTTAGCAATTAGTTACTTTCATTCTCTTATATACTGTATCTGTTCTGACAGAAAAGTTGCAATTCCCAATTAAACTATATTTGCCTTTTTTTCCTTTTTCAGCGTGGACCAAACAAAGTCCCTATATATTCTCTAGTGCTAATTACCCTAGTTGTTCTATTGTTTGTTCTGGTCGGAGATGTGAACACTTTAGCTCCTATAGTCACAACAGCATTCATGATGTCATACGCTGCTGTAAATTACTCTTATTTTGCTCTTGCCATGAGTTACGATCATAGGCAAGCACGCGATCTACGATTTGGTGTTCAGGATAAATCACGAAGAAAAAGCACAGACATTAGTGGATATGGAGCGACAAGTGTGACCGAAAAATCGTATAAAGACTCTTTTCAGACTATACGCACTGATTTAGATAAACTATTTCCAGAGAGATTGACCCATAGAGGTCAACATCATTTAATTCACCAACAGGGCAAAGAATCTCATGGTCAGATGTCACCATCAGAGCCTGATTTTGATGCCACTCAAAGGTCAAAATCTCTAGATAATGTTTCTGAGGTCAGTGATTCGTCACAAGTGTTGCTTTGTAAGGAAGGAGGTACGTCATTGTTGTTTTTATTTATGTATAATAATATGATATGAACAGTTTTAGAATGTCAAAGTAGAAACAAATGAACTGGCTAATGACAAAATTTATTTGGAATATGCACAGGGAACCAATTCATTATGTAGTTGTTAAAGTCCCCTTTGATAAACAAAAAATAGTTATTAAAGTCTCCTTTAAAAAAACAAAAAAGAGTTGTTAAAACAAATATGTTGCAATTAACTTGAACTGATGTGGATATTCAAATATTAAATACACCATTAAAATGTCATCATTAAATATTTCTATTTAAAATTTTTCTGTGGATTACTGATTTATCCGTGAAAATTTTATTTGATAATTTTACAGTGAAAATCATCAAAATATAATTTCACACTTTTCAATGACGAAACTACTTAATAAGATTTTTCCCATGTGGTACCTCAATTTTATTTTTGCTAACAATTCTGACAATTTCAGGCTGTTAAGAGATAAACAAAGTTCAACTTTAAAAATGACTTAAATGTCAAAAATAATAAAAAAAGAGAAGAAAACTTACTTCTATTCATTCAAATTACCAATCACCAAATATTGTCTCTTAATTTTTTTCGTTTAATTTTTAAATTCTGAAAAATACATTCCTTCCATATTTAAGTATCTACGAGCAATAACTGCCGTATGCTTTATGAAAACTTAATAAGCAATGACAGCAATCAGCCCAAAGAATAAGTAAACAATCCAGCGTTCGTAAGGCAGCCTTTCAGCAATGCAAAGTTTTCCAATATCCTAGCCAATTTTTGAATGTTTACACATCTCTCAACACTTATTTATTGTCTGTTACAATCCTCAAAAAAGTTTTCTTTCTTTTAAAAAGGTTTATGACTTACAAATCCAAATGATATCCCTCTGAGTCAAACACAATTATTTTCCTCCCTTGAAACACACAACTTTTAAAAATGGCGACCGCTTACATTTAACAGTGCAACAGCATAATTTTAGACATGGACAACTGCTTCTGTATATGTTTTAGGTGAACTTTCATAATTTCTAGACATTTAATTAATTAGTCAAAATTGTTGATTGTTTATAGATGTGTATCGATTATTGATTGACAGAAAAATATCAACAATACATCAGTATTGTTTCTATCGATGACAGCTCTAGTTCTTCTCAGCTGCTAAATAGTTCAACTTGGCTTGTAAAATAATATTATTGCGAGCCTCTGACCAGCATTATATTGTTTAATTCGCCGCCTCCGTGGTCGAGGGGTTAGAGTCGATGACTTCTAATCCAGTTACCTCTCTGGCGTGGGTTCGATCCCCGGGAGATGCTTTGGTAGTTTAGCGCGGAGGAAGGTAGTCTAGTACTGGTGTAACTCTCCAGGAGCGATGGTTAGGAAACTACCCGCCTATATGACTGAAATACTGTTGGAAAAAGGTGTAAAATGAAACAAACAAACAAACAAACAAACAAATATTGTTTAATTCAACAAGTTCAATAAATTTAGTATCGAATCTACATGAATATAATAATCTATTTATCACATATATAAAATAAGAACAATAAATTGTTAAAAAAGATTCATCTTTTATTAGTTTACAGTAAGTAGTTTTATTTGTGTTTAGATCCAAGACAACCACCTAATATGGAAATCACCAAGCAACCCAGGTCATGGTACTCATTCTTATGTAACAGATGGCTGTCATTATTTGGGGTATGTATATACATGTTTGTAATATTTTGTTTTGTTTCTCATTTTTTTTACACCACAAACAGAGCTTATAATTCTACTTATAAAGAATGAAGTAAGGTAAGTATTGTTTTTAGTGTACTTGACTGTGTTATAGACAGACTGTAGGCTATCCTTTAAACACAACAAAAAAATCATGTGTTCAAGACTTGTTCTGCTTTTTTTTCTAAAATATAATCTTGGTAGTTCCAGACTGGTTGTGGACAAGAATTGTTTATTACTGTTCAGAACTACCATCCAAGTGGTTCATGACTAGTGACGTCACTGTTTCAGCTACACAACCTCCCCTTGACAGGATAGAAAAGAATTATTGTCCTGTACAATGTTTCAGTCAACTCAATTTCCATTCTGACTATTTTTGACCATAAGTTCGAGCAGACCCTAGATTGACTTTGTCATAGACAATTTTATAAAAGGGACTTAACCCACACTGCAGTACTGAAATTATTTTTCTCCATTTTTTTTTAGATTTATTTACCATTTGATGTTGGTCTGGACCAATAATTTTTGTAGTGAAAAATTACCCAATAATGAAAAATATTTAAATGCTTACTAAAAGCAGACTATGAATTGCACAAATATTGAATTTATTTGTATGAATTATTTTTATGTTGTAAGTGCCAGTTTATTTCAGACAGCGTACTTTCTGTCAAAAATTATCACATTAACCAGGTCCATTTGGCCTCAGTAAATATCACATTAACAAGGGCCATATGGCCTTGTTGAAAAGCACATTAACCAGGTCTGTTGACTTTGATATCACTTCATTATCATTTCAATTATGTTTTTTTTAATCACATATGTTATTTTGTGAAATACTTTAACATTGTTTTGAGATTATAAAAAATAGATTAATGTTGATAAATGTGTTTTTTTGTTATTTCAGAATTGGTGTGTGGGGTGATAATGTTTGGAACACAGTGGATTTATGCTCTATTAGAAGTCATTGCTGCCCATAGGTGTCTACATCTACATAGGCCAGGCTAACCCCGGCTACTTCCTAGGTAAATCTTTATGCTTTCAAGCTAACCCTGGCTATTTTCCAGGTAAATCTTTTATGTTTTTAAGCTAACCCAGGCTACTTTCTGGTAAATCTTCATGTTTTCAAGCTAACCCCGGCTACTTTCAGGTGAACTTCATGTTTTCAAGCTAACCCTGGCTTTTTCTGGGTAAATGCTCACCTTTTTAGCTCGACTATTCGAAGAATATGAGAGCTATTGTAGTCGCCCCTGGCGTCGCGCGTCGGCGTCGGCAGTCAGCGTCCGCGTCTGCGTCTGCGTTGGTTAAAGTTTTTTGTAAATTCAAATATTTCAATTATTGCTTGAGATATTCAATTGAAACTTACAATACTTATTTATAGTAAACAATGTACATCAGATTGACAAGTTGGATAACTCTACCTACAATATTGACAGAATTATGCCCCTTTTTAACTTAGAAATTTTGGTTTAAGTTTTTTGTAAAGTCAAATATCTCAATTATTGCTTGAGATATTCAATTTGAAACTTGCAATACTTATTTATAGTAACAATGTACATCAGATTGACAAGTTGGATAACTCTACCTACAATATTGACAGAATTATGCCCCTTTTTAACTTTAGAATTTTGGTTTAAAGTTTTTTGTAAAGTCAAATATCTCAATTATTGCTTGAGATATTCAATTGAAACTTGCAATACTTATTTATAGTAACAATGTACATCAGTTTGACAAGTTGGATAACTCTACCTACAATATTTTCAGAATTATGCCCCTTTTTAACTTAGAAATTTTGGTTTATGTTTTTTTGTAAATTCAAATATCTTAATTATTGCTTGAGATATTCAATTGAAACTTACAATACTTATTTATAGTAACAATGTACATCAGATTGACAAGTTGGATAACTCTACCTACAATAATGACAGAATTATGCCCCTTTTTAACTTAGAAATTTTGGTTAAAGTTTTTTGTAAAGTCAAATATCTCAATTATTGCCTGAGATTTTCAATTTAACCTTACAATACTTATTTATAGTAACAATGTATATCAGTTTGCAAAATAGCATAACTCTGCCTGCAATATTTGTAGAATTATTTGTTTTGAAACTTAAAAATTTTGGTTAAAGGTTAAAGGTCTTCAAAGATATTTACTTGAAACTTTACACATGTACTTAGGGTCATAATTGGAGAGTCATAATTGTTGTATGTCACTGACCAAGTTCCATAACTCTACTCGCATTAAGGCTGATTCATCTCCCCTTTTCTACTTAGTCTCTTGGTTAATGTTTACATGCAAGTTTTACATATCTCAATAACTATTAAAGATATTTATTTAAAACTTCACATATGCATTTAGGGTCATAATTGTAGGTCACTGACAAAGATCCATAATTCTATCTTGCATTTAGGCTGATTTTTCTCCCCTTTTTCAACTTATGGTAAAGTTTTGCTTGTAAGTTGTTATCTCAATAACTACTGAAGGGTTTGTGCCTTTTTTTGGGACAATTTTATGCATTCATGATAATAAAGCAGTGATTTACTTGATAAAACATCTTAATAACAAGCCTTTGTACCTTTTCTGTCAAATTTATGTATTCATAGGTAATTAGTATATTATTACTCAATAAAACACCCTTGTGACATTACCTTCCGAATAGTCAAGCCAATACTGTATAATTAGACTCTCTCTAAGGCCTATAACATGAATTTATAAAAAAAAATTAGCCCTTTTGTGAACTTAAAAAAAATTAACATTATCAAGGCTCTTTTACTATCAAGCACTTAGGATAGTCGAGCGTGCTGTCCTACTGACAGCTCTTGTTAAGCTTACCCTGGCTACTTTCTGGGTAAATCTTCATGTTTTCAAGGTTACCCTGGCTACTTTCTGGGTAAATCTTCATATTTTCAATCTATCCCTGGCTACCTCCTAGGTAAATATTCATGTTTTTAAGCTATCCCTAGCTGCTTCCTAGGTAAATCTTCATATTTTTAAGCATTACATTACATTATAAGTTTTTTAATTACAGGTATAGCTGAATTTAACTTCTATAATTGGATGAAATCAGGTCTACAAAGATGTATAAGGTAAGATATCATTACTTTATAAAATATTTATCAAACTGTTTAAATCTACTTTGTGAAGTTAAATTAAAAATAAAAGTAAAAAGAAAGGTATAATATTTTTGTTAATTGTACTTATGGGCGTAATGGGTTGATATTCCAGGGCTCTAGTATCAGGTTTGGAATTAAGATGCTGACTGTTAGAGAGTTGACTATCACCTGTTCACTCACCATATACTTTAGGATGTGCATATTGTCACTGGTTTTAATTAAAAATTTATTTATTGTGATGTAAATTTGTATTTGTGTAGTGGTAAACGGAGCCAAGAGGAAGTAATTGTTGCTCCCACAACTCCAGCAGTTACCACCCTTGCTGCACAGCTTACAGAAGACAATGAAGATTTTGCAGGTAGGGGCCGCTATCACCAATCAGAAGTAGTACAGGGAGAGAACTTTGATGATTATGCTGATGACAGTGAGAGTTAGCTTTCCTGTCTAAGGATGAACTTTAAATTCTTGGAAACTTAAGCTTGGTAAATTATGTTGACACTGAATTCAAATGTTCCTTACCAAAGCTTTTGAATTGTCAAGGGAGAGAATTGCCATTGGAAGAACTGTTAGAGTTAGTGCTCATGACTGTCAATGATATGTTCATAATAATGTTGTTAAAAGAGATAAATTTAAACTAACATTAGATAGTAAGCTAACATTCCAGATTATATTTTACAAGTTTAAGCTTGACTGAACGATTTAGAGTTATCACACTGATTTGATTAGATTTCTGGTTAAAGTGTTTGTGCCGTTTAATATTCATTACTATATTTCAAGGAATTTATTTCAAACTTTATATGTAAATGTTTCTTATGATGCCCTTATCATATATGACAATATGACAAGATTGGTTAAATGAAGCACATATATTAAGGAATAAACTAATGAAAGGAATGGATTGCAACTTCACACTCTTATTTGAGAGCATAATAGGAGATCACTGTTTATGGCCAATAACATGAGTGTTTGACAGAGTGATGACCCTTTTTGAACTTGAAAAAAATTACCTTATCAAGTCTCTTGTTTTAATCAAGCATTGACACTAGTGGAGCACATTGTCCTACTGACAACCCATTTATCATTAATAATTATCTAAATAAAATCTAATGTGGTAAAATGTAATGTTATAATTCTCCGAACTTAACTTTGATATTGTATCTATGTTATTTTATTTAAGTTGTTGTGTTTGAAGCCAAAATTTTGTAGTTTTGCAGGAGATAGTGCAATATATATATAAAGTGTATATTTCTTGTGTGTACAGTTGATATGTTGTGATGTGGTAAAGTTAATGTTCAAGTTGTGATATTTACTTTAAGTTATTATAGTTGTATGTTAGTGACATTGTTAGAAAAGGAAAGATTCTTTTTTCAAATGTTTTAGCTCAACTGTTTGTAGAATAGAGGAACTATTACAGAACACTCATTGATTATGCGTCTACATGTCTGTTGGTTTAAATTTGAGGCCAAATTTATATTTTGTTTTTATACTTTTTAAACCACTGATGGTATCTAATTACTGTAGAAATATTATTGTATATCACCGAAAAAAAAAAATGATTTTAGCATGATATTTGACAGAATTATATTTCTTTACTGCTTAAAATAAATACTAGACTAGAGTATACAAGATCATTATCTTGAGTTGGTTTAGATGTTAATTAAAACTTGTAAATTATTGTCTTTGGGACTATTAAGTCTTGCTTAAATTCTGACTGAATTATAGCTTTCTGTGAATCTATTCTGCATTTCCAGAGCCTTGTTTTACTATCAAATGCTGAGAAAATTAGAATGCATTTACTTCTGCTATTTATTAACAGGCTTAATCAATTGAGTTTGCAATATTGTTAAATTTGCTGTATTGGCTGACTTTAAA